ATACTAATACTACTACTAATAATAATATTCATACTACTACGAACAATAATAATAATGCTACTACGAATAATCATAATAATAGTATTAATAATAATGATGATGCTAATCCTAGAAATAATACCGATAACAATAATAATAACGATACTAATAAGAGGAAGGAAAAGACGAATAATAAGACGAACCATAAGAACAAGACGAAGACAACTCAACTAAGCATACTAATAATCATAAGAGGAGGAGGCGGAAGAGGCGGAGGCGGCGGAGGCGGCGGAGGCGGAGGGGGCGGAGGGGGCGGAGGAGGAGGAGGAGGAGGAGGAGGAGGGGGAGGAGGGGGAGGGGGAGGGGGAGCGGGATGGGAAGGAGGAGGAATAATAAGAATAACACAATTACGAATAATAGCAATACGAAGAATACGAAGAAGACGAAGACGAATACTCATACTAATACTGAGAATAATATGAATAAAAAATAGCAAGTGGAATAATGAAAATAATCATATTTGTATTTATAATAACAACAATACTAATACTAGTACTAATAATGATATTACGAACATCAAGAATAATAGCAAGATGAATAATGATAATAATACGGATGCTAATCATACTAGTAAGACGATGAAGGAGATTGACATTAAGAAAAATAACAAGAATATGACGAAGCCCGATACTAATACGAAGCAGAATATTTAAAAGAAGATGAGGAGGACGCGAAGGAGGAGGCCGAGGAGGAGGAGGAGGAGAAAGCGGAGGAGGATCTGGAGGGGGAGGGGGAGGAGGAGGAGGAGGAGGAATCGCAATAATAGTAATATTACTATCATTAATAATGATACTGAAAATAATAAGGATACCAATAATACGATCAGTATCAACAATAATACTAGTAATACTAATAATGATATTACTAGTACTACTGTTATTAGTCACATTAGCAATCATACTAATGTTATTAATAATACTACTAATACGGATGCTACTACCACTATTATAACTCATTTTTTTAACTATATTAACAACCTCAAACCAATAATCAGCAATACATAAATACTACTACTACTAATACTACTAACAATAAGATTCCATAACAATAATGCCAGTGTAAACCATACTTATATTTACTAAGGAGGAAATAATACTCATAATGCTGGGAAGAGGAACAATAATCATGAAACATAGGCAGAGAGGAGGAGGAGGCGGAGGTTGTGTAGGCAGAGGAGGACGAGGAGGAGGAGGAGGAGGAGGAGGAGGGGGAGGCGGGGGAGGGGGCTGGGGGAGGGGGAGGGTGAGGGGGGTCGGGGGGAGGAGGAGGCAGGAAGAGGAGGAGTAAGAGTAAGGAGGAGGAGGAGGAGGAGGAGGAGGAGGAGGGAGGAGAAAGGAGGGAGGAGGAGGAGGAGGAGGAGGAGGAGCAGCAGGAGGAGTTGTGGCAGTTTAGGTTCTTTTGGAAGCAGTTGTTCATGGTTTCGGGGGCGCTCGAGGGGGAAGCGTATTTGGGCGGTGTCCTTTGGCCGCCTGGGGGCCCCCTGTGGCTGTCCTTAGGCCTTCTTGGGCTGTCGTGCGGGGCTTGGGCCGTCTAGGGGCTTTCTTGCGGATCCGTCGTGGCGACCCCCCCCTCCAGCGCGTCTACAGAGGGCCCCTGTGTAAAAGCCGCGAACGGGGGATGCGAATCTGCGAATCTGACCCCCACCCCAGTAACCCCCCCGCCAGTGAAGGGGCAAAGGGGGGGGGGCTTCCCTTTGACGTGACTACGACGTGGGTCGATTTCCCTCAATCCCCTGACTCCCCCCCGCGACGACGGGAGTGCTCTCTCGCCCCCGACGGGGAAGGATGAACAGAGAGGGCGTCCCGTCGACGGGACCAGACAGACACCCTGCACGCCGACAGGGTCGGCGGTCTTGGGCGGTCTTGGATTTCCGCGGGCACTCTGCTCAGCCACGGTTGATTGCGCGCAAACGGTACAATTGTGCAAGCCGAGAGGTTGCACGTGACGAGGGGTTGCGCGCAGCCAGCGCACAATCATCGATTGCGTGCCTGGTTACGTTCTGTCTACGTGCAACCTTCAAGTTTGTACCGTTTACGCGCGCCGCTCACGTGCAATATTTTTGTTGTTCCATCTTGCGCCTTCTACGTGCAGCCGTTTATTCTTGGCGGTCATGGGCGGTCTTGGATTGCCGCCGGCACTCTGCGCAGCCAGGGTCGATTGCGCACAATTGTTCAAGCCAAGAGGTCGCACATAAACGTAACGACGCAAACATTGAAAGTGTACCCGGTTACGTTATGTTCACGTGCAACCTTCAAGTTTGTACAGTTTACGTGCAACCTTCCGCGTTCCATCTTGCACCGTGTGCGTGCAGCCATTCATCCTGGGCCATTTTAGGCTATCTTGGTTGCTTGGCTTCGGTTGCCGTGAAAAAAAAATTAGGCTATCTTGGTCGCAAGCGGTACAATTGTACAAGACAAGGGGTTGCGCGCAACCAGTGCGACATAATTATCGATTGCGTGCCTGGTTACGTTATGTTCACGTGCAACCTTCAAGTTTGTACCGTTTCCGTGCCGCTTACGTGCAAGATTCGTTGTTCCATCTTGCGCCGTCTACGTGCAGCTGCTCATCTTGGGCGGTCTTGGACTTCCGCGGGCGCTCTGCTCAGCAGCGCTCGATTGCGCGCGAACGGTGCAACTGTGCAAGCGGAGAGGCCGGACAATTTTTTGGCAAAATCGGCCAGCGTTATGGCGCCAGGGCCTCCCGGGGCCTCCGCTCCCAGATGGCCCATGGTGCCATGGCACCGGCCAGTACCGGCCGATTTTGATGGGAGCGTTTTCCACCACCACCACCATAAGTTGGAGGGGGGAAGAAGGAGGACGAGGAGGAGGACGAAGAGGAGGAGGACGAAGAGGAGGAGGAGGAGGGCACCCTCCCCCTCCAACTCATGGTGGTGGTGGTGGAAAACAGGCCCACCAGATTTTGCCAAAATTTGCCCCGATCCCACACAACACTGGCCTGTGTTATGGCACCAGGAGGCCGGGCCCTGGTGCCGCGGCGTTTGGCGAACGACGCCATCAAATCGCTGCGAACGTCCCGTACGTTTTGTCGAAGCATCGAGGAAAGTCGAAGACTCGAGAAGTGTATCGATTCGGCCGCAAAGCTTTGCGCCAGGCGGACCCCCCCGCCGCGGGAGGCCCAGCGGGAGACCCTACGCCATTCGGGCCGGACGAAAGGGGGGGATTGGGAAAGGGGGGGTTACGAAATTTGCTGCATGCAGCTGGTTTCGGCCTCACCGAGGGGCCCATTCCTCGATACATGGCCGCCTCCGGCGCCGGGAGGCGCCGGGAAAATCAGCTACGTGAGCTGATTCTCAAACCCCTCCTTTGCTATCCCCCCCTTTCGCCCGACCCGAGGGAGGCCCAGCGGGAGACCCTGCGCCATGCGAGATATCGCCGAGGCCCTCCACCGTGCGAAAGCCTCACGCCCTTGGGGGGCGCCCAGAGGCCCGCCGCCCGGCGAACACCGTCGCCCCGGAAGGTCCCTGGACGCCCGGCGCCGCGCGAGAACTCCAGCCGTGGGAGGAGAGCTGGGGGACCCAGACCTCGGGCGTCTCGAAAAAATCGAGATAAAGGTTCTTCGTCGTTTTCGGCCTCGGGAGGCCCTCGCCGGGCCTCGGGACCGTCAAAAAACGACTCGGGATGAAAAACCGGTCCCGGGGAAGTGGTCGGGAGGTTGGGGGCCCGTGTCTCGAGAAAATCGAGGCGTCGGATGTCCGGGGAGGCCGTGGCGCGGGGAGGCCCTGGGAAGCCAGGCGCCATGCGAACACGCCCTGAGGCCCTGCGCCACGCGACAGCTCCCGCCCCGGGGAGGCCCCGCACCATGCGAGCACTTCCGCAGGCCCTCTGCGCCACGCGAAAGCGCACGCCCTGGGAGGCCCCCCGGAGGCCCGACGCCACGCGAAAACCGTCGCCGTGGGAGACCCCATAGGAAGCCCGATGCCACGAGAAAATTCCCCACCTTGGGAGGAGGCCCAGGGAGGCCCTACACCTTAGGCGATGCTTAAGAAAACTTACGTTTTCGGCCAGAGTCTCGATTATTCTTAATGTTTCAATGTAAATCCTAAGATTTGAATGGGAATTTTGGGTTTTTGTTCAAGTTCTGAGACCATGAATTTCTTAACCCATGATTTCTTAAGCATTTCGCGTGGTGTACATGCGAAAACTCCCGCCCAGGAAATCCCGGGAGGCTCTGCACCACGCGAACGACTCCATGCCCTGGGCCCGACTCCGTGCGAAGCCCCCCGAAGGGCCTAATTACACCCTGCGCAAATTCCTGCCCTGGGAGGGCCGGCGAGGCCCTGCGCCATGCGAAAACACCCGGAGGCCGTGCACAGAAGTCACGCCCGGGGAGGCCCCGTGGAAGTCCTTTTGGATTCTTCGACTTTTCGATTTTTCCATTTGTCAGGCGTGCTGATCGATTCTGCGGCTTTCCGTTTTTTGGATGTTTCCCTTTTCAATCACCCCGCCATCCCTCATAACTTTTCAACTTTTCAGCGCTTCTCCATTTTCCGACTTGTCAGTTTTTCAAACGGTACGGGTGTCCTTGCAAGATGTTCAGAATTTGAGCCCGGACCGGCCCATCTACTACATCCTGACTCCTAGAGCCAGTTAGCTGGTACTCTTTGGTCGTAGCGTGCGCTCACTTCAGGCCTCCGACCCCCTCCACTTGGTCGCAGCTTGCACTCACTCACCGGATTCGCGGCGCCTAAATGAAGGACAGTTTGGGTGCGAGAGAGGCTCGATGTTCCTCGGGTCCTTCCATGGCTGTTCCCCTAACCCTCTTCGTGCACGCAGGCGTTCCTGGGTCTAGAGAGGGGCTTCGTTCCTCGCGCATCGTGCCTTCTTGCAGCACCCCGAGAGTGCAGCGCCATTCGGGACGCTCGCGTCTTCTCCAGACCAGAGGCTCTTGAGCGCGAACCGCACGCGCGTAGACCGACCTCCCGCGCCAGCGCGGCACGCCAGGCCCCGTCGGCCCCGGCCCCTGCGCTGTGCGACCTCGTGCCGCTGGCGGCGGTCGCCCCCGCGCAGCCGCCGCCCGCGCAGGCCGGGGCGGCGGCTGCGCCTTGGCCTTGTTGGCTGCGTTGCACCTTTCGGGGGACCTCGTCTTCTCCTCCTCTTCCCCCTCCTCCTCCTCCTCCTCCTCCTCCTCCTCCTCCTCCTCCTCCTCCTTGTCTCCTCGCTCTCCTTCGTATCCTCCTCCTTCGTGTCCTCCTCCTCTTCATCATCCTCCTCACTTCATCTCTCGTTCTCCTCCTGCGTCTCCTTTCCCTCCTCCTCCTCCTCCTCCTCTCCTCCTCTTCCTCCTTCTCCTCTTCTCCTCATCCCTCGTCTCTCCTCGCCCGCGCACTCCGCTGTCCGCCGCCCCTCCTCGCGGCGGTTTGGCCCACTCCGCCACTCCTTGCTGTCCTCCGCCTATCCTCGTCGTCTCTCTTCGGTCTCCTCTCTCTCCTTCTCCTCACTATCCTCCTCCTCCTCTTCCTCCTCCTCCTCCTCCTCCTCCTCCTCCTCCTCCTTCACCTCCTAGCAGTAGCCGGCCCCGCACACTATGGCCATCTCCGCGCGGTAGACGACCCAGAAGCGCATCTGCGCGAGCCCCGCCCAAGCGCCAGCTCAGCCGGCCACCTTTTCCTCCTCTTCCTCCTCCTCCTCCTTCGTCTCCTCCTTCGTCTCCTCCTCCTCTTCCTCCTCTTCCTCCTCCTTCGTCTCCTCCTCTTCTGCATCCTTTTCCGTCATCTCTTCCTCCTCCTCCTCTTTCTCATTCGTCTCCTCCTCTCCCTCCCTCCTCCTCCTCCTCCTCCTCCTCCTCCTCCTCCTCCTCCTCCTCCTCCTCCTCCTCCTCGTCTCCTCCTCGCCCGCGCCTCCGCTGTCCGCCGCCGCTCCTCCGCGGCGGTTGGCCCCCTCCGAGCGGCGACGGCGCCCCCCCCCTCGTCGGCCGCCCCGGCCCCCAGATCCTCGTCTTCTCTTGAGCCCGCCGCGGGCTCGACGCGGCCTCGAGGCGGGTTTGGCGTGGACCCGGCGCGGACTCGGCGCGGACTCGGCGCGGATTCGACGCGTCCGAGGCGCATTCGACGCGGCTTCGACGCGGAGAGGGGGCGCGGCGGGTTTTTGGCGTGCACTCGGCGCGGACTCGGCGCGGACTCGGCGCGGATTCGACGCGTCCGAGGCGCATCCGACGCGGCTTCGACGCGGAGAGGGGGCGCGACGGGGCAGGCCAGAGGCCCGCCGCAACCGGGGGAGCTGTGGCCCTTACCCCCCTGGGGGGCCCATTGATTTCGACGCCCCTCTCGAGAGGTCGTCGATGCGGTGGGCTCCCCCGGGGGGGGGTAAAGACCAGAGCTCCCCCGGTTACGGCTGGTCGGGACAAAGGTCTCCCGAAGAGGCACCCCGGCGTCGGGGACGGGGTCGGCCCCGGGGGGATGCGGTTGGCCGTGGCGCCGCGGGCCCGCGCGGAAGAGGGAAAACCCTTCTCTTGGCGGAGGGGCTCGGTGCTCCTCCTCCTCCTCCTCCTCCTCCATCCTCTCCTCCTCCTTCCTCCCTCCTCCTCTCCTCTCCTCTCCTCCGCCTCCATCCTCCTCCTCCTCTCCTCTCTCTCCTTCTCCTCCTCCTCCTCCTTTCTCTCTCCTCCTTTCCTCCTTCTCGTCCCCCGGTGTTCCTCGAGTGTTCCAAAGTTCCGTGTGGTCTTCCCGCGGGTTTTCCTCCACCAACTTTCGGGGCTGAACCGGGGAAAAAAGGGGGGCCTGTCTGATTCAGAGTTCTTTAGGTAAATGCCTCGACTGTTTCAGTTTGCCACTGGTCATCCGCGTTATTCTCACGGGCACTTCGGGGCTGTAAATCTTGGGAAAAAGGGGCCTCGCTCCTGATTCAGAGTTCTTTAGGTCAATGCCTCGACTGTTTCAAGGTTTGCCTCTGGTCTTCCCGAGGTTTTCCCCAAGGGAACTTCGGGGCTGAACTTATTGGGAAAAAGGAGCATCGCTCCTGATTCAGAGTTCTTCAGGTCAATGCCTCGACTGTTTCAAGGTTTGCCTCTGGTCTTCCCGAGGTTTTCCCCACGGGATTGGGGTCTGAACCGGGGAACGAGGCGGCCTCGCTCCTGATTCAGAGTTCTTTAGGTCAATGCCTCGACTGTTTCAAGGTTTGCCTCTGGTCTTCCCGAGGTTTTCCCCACGGGAACTTCGGGGCTGAACTTATTGGGGAAAAGGGGCCTCGCTCCTGATTCAGAGTTTTTTAGGTCAATGCCTCGACTGTTTCAAGGTTTGCCTCTGGTCTTCCCGAGGTTTTCCCCACAGGGCCTCGCTCCTGATTCAGAGTTCTTTAGGTCAATGCCTCGACTGTTTCAAGGTTTGCCTCTGGTCTTCCCGAGGTTTTCCCCACGGGAACTTCGGGGCTGAACTTATTGGGAAAAAGCGGCCTCGCTCCTGATTCAGAGTTCTTTAGGTCAATGCCTCGACTGTTTCAAGGTTTGCCTCTGGTCTTCCCGAGGTTTTCCCCACGGGACCTTCGGGGCTGAACTTATGAAAAAGGGGCCTCGCTCCTGATTCAGAGTTCTTTAGGTCAATGCCTCGACTGTTTCAAGGTTTGCCTCTGGTCTTCCCGAGGTTTTCCCCACGGGAACGTCGGGGCTGAACTCAGGGGAAAAAGGGGCCTCGTTCCTGATTCAGAGTTCTTTAGGTAAATGCCTCGACTGTTTCAAGGTTTGCCTCTGGTCTTCCCGAGATTTTCCCCACGGGATTTCCGGGGCTGAACTTACTGGGAAAAAGGGGCCTCGCTCCTGATTCAGAGTTCTTTAGGTCAGTGCCTCGACTGTTTCAAGGTTTGCCTCTGGTCTTCCCGTCCCCACGGGAACTTCGGGGCTGAACTTATTTGGGAAAAAGGGGCCTCGCTCCTGATTCAGAGTTCTTTAGGTCAATGCCTCGACTGTTTCAAGGTTTGCCTCTGGTCTTCCCGAGGTTTTCCCCACGGGAACTTCGGGGCTGAACTCAGGGGAAAAAGGGGCTTCGCTCCTGATTCAGAGTTCTTTAGGTCAATGCCTCGACTGTTTCAAGGTTTGCCTCTGGTCTTCCCGAGGTTTCCCCACGGGAACTTCGGGGCTGAACGTATTGGAAAAAGGGCCCTCTCTCATGATTCCGCTTTCTTTAGGTCATGCCTCGACTGTTTCAAGTTTTGCTGGTTTCCCGAGGTTTTCCCCCAACGCGGGAACTTCGGGTCGAACTTCAGGGAAAAAAGGGGGCCTCGCTCCTGATACGTGTTCTTTCGGTCCAATGCCTCGACTGTTCAAGGTTTGCCTTGGTCTTCCCGAGGTTTCCACGGGCAATCGAGGCTGAACTCAGTGGGAAATAGGGCCTCGCTCCTGATTCAGAGTTCTTTAGGTCAATGCCTCGACTGTTTCAAGGTTTGCCTCTGGTCTTCCCGAGGTTTTCCCCACGGGAACTTCGGGGCTGAACTTATTGGGAAAAAGGGGCCTCGCTCCTGATTCAGAGTTCTTTAGGTCAATGCCTCGACTGTTTCAAAGTTTGCCTCTGGTCTTCCCGAGGTTTTCCCCACGGGAACTTCGGGGCTGAACTTATTGGGAAAACGGGCCTCGCTCCTGATTCAGAGTTCTTTAGGTCTATGCCTCGACTGTTTCAAGGTTTGCCTCTGGTCTTCCCGAGGTTTTCCCCACGGGAACTTCGGGGCTGAACTCAGGGGAAAAAGGGGCCTCGCTCCTGATTCAGAGTTCTTTAGGTCAATGCCTCGACTGTTTCAAGGTTTACCTCTGGTCTTCCCGAGGTTTTCCCCACGGGAACTTCGGGGCTGAACTTATTGGGAAAGGGCTCGCTCAGATTCAGAGTTTTTAGGTCATGCCTCGGACTGTTTCAAGGTTTGCCTCTGGTCTTCCCAGAGGTGTTCCCCACGGGAACTTTGGCTGCACTTCTTGGGAACTAGGAGCATCGCTCCTGATTCAGAGTTCTTTAGGTCCATGACACTCGACTGGTTTCAAGGTTCCTCTGGTTCTTCCCGAGGTTTTCCCACGGACCTTCGGGGCTGAATCGGGGAAAAAGGGGCTCGCTCTGATTCCGCGTTTTAGTTCCTGCCTCCGATGTTTCACGGGTATGCTCTGGTTTCCGAGGTTTTCCACGGGACCTTCGGGGCTGAAATCAGGGGCACAGGGGCTCGCTCCTGATTCAGAGTTCTTAGGTCAATGCTGCTGTTTAAGGTTAGCCTTCTGGTCTTCGGGTTTTCCCCCGGGAACTTCGGGCTGACTTCTTGGGAAACAAAGGGGCTCGCTCTGATTCAGAGTTCTTTAGGTCTATGCCTCGACTGTTTCAAGGTTTGCCTCTGGTCTTCCCGAGGTTTTCCCCACGGGAACTTCGGGGCTGAACTCAGGGGAAAAAGGGGCCTCGCTCCTGATTCAGAGTTCTTTAGGTCAATGCCTCGACTGTTTCAAGGTTTACCTCTGGTCTTCCCGAGGTTTTCCCCACGGGAACTTCGGGGCTGAACTTATTGGGAAAAAGGGGCCTCGCTCCTGATTCCGAGTTCTTTAGGTCAATGCCTCGACTGTTTCAAGGTTTGCCTCTGGTCTTCCCGAGGTTTTCCCCACGGGAACTTCGGGGCTGAACTCATTGGGAAAAAGGGGCTTCGCTCCTGATTCAGAGTTCTTTAGGTCAATGCCTCGACTGTTTCAAGGTTTGCCTCTGGTCTTCCCGAGGTGTTCCCCACGGGAACTTCGGGGCTGAGCTTCTTGGGAAAAAGGGGCCTCGCTCCCGATTCCGAGTTCCTTGGGTCGGTGCCTCGACTGCACGCCATCCCCCACCTCAGGGACAGCGTGCGCCGACGAGGCTCAGGAGGGGAAAAACCACACAGACACAATGAATCGGCGATTCCCAGAAAATATGGGAAACTATGGGAAGTGGGGGGGAAGACAGAAGCCCAGAAAAGATGGGAAAATATGGGGAATATGTTTATTTGTGTGTATTTATTTGTGTGTCCTGGGGCCCCTTCAGAGGCTTCGGCAGGAGGAGGGAGGAGGAGGAGGAGGAAGTGGAGGAGGAAGAGGAGGAGGGAAGGGGAG